GTGTTTTATTACATAAACACAATGTCATTATTGTAACAGAACTAAATAATAACCAGAGTCCTATAACCCAAGTTCATAGTCACATTTCCCCAGTTGTGTGCTTTTACTGTTATTTTGTCTGAATCAAGACCAAATAAAATCCACATTTCACTCCTTCCACTGTTATTTCTGTGGCTCTAGTCACATCATCTCTCACACGAATTACAATAGCTTCCTAACTAGTCTTCTTCCTTCAGCTCCCTACCTCTTCTTTAAGATTTTATTTTTATTTATTTGACAGAGAGAGAGAGAGCATAAGCAGGGGGAGTAGCAGGCAGAGGGAGAAGGAGAAGCAGAGTCCTCGCTGAGCAAGGACCTTGGGATCATGACCCGAGCCGAAGGCAGATGCTTAACCAACTGAGCCACCCAGACACCCCAAATCCCTACCTCTTCAATCTATTTCGACACAGCAGTCAGAATGATCCTTCCCTCCTGAAACTCTTCAGTAACTTTTTTTAAAGATTATTTATTTGAGAGAGAGTGCACACACATGTATGCAAGTAGGAGAGGGGCAGAGAGAGAGAATCTTCAAGCAGACTCCTGGCTGAGCTCAGAGACCGATCCATGGGTTGTTCACTCCATTCCAGACACACTGGCCTCCTTGAAATCTATGAAATGTGCCAAGCATGCTCTTTTCACAGGGTCATTGTACCTGCTATTACCTATGCCTGGAAGTTTCTTCCCCAGTTATCTGTATGACAGTATCCCTTACTTCTTCAAGTCATTACTTAAGTATCTTTTCATTGAGCTATTAAAAATTAAGAATTTGCACTTCCTTGCCAGGTTCAGCATTCCCTATCTCATTCTCTTTTTTATTTGTGCACAGCACTTATTCTCTCTAGAATAACACTCTCCTGAGAGTGGTAATTTTTGTCTGTTTGATTTATGCTGTATTTTAGCATCTAGAACATTTCCTGAGACATAAAAAACAACAAATGTTGAATAAATGAATGAATGTTTACTTATCAAATTTCATAACTTCAATTTTTATTCTTTAGTTTGCCTTTCAGGAGCCCCAAACATACTTACCTTAAAGTCCTTTTCAGGCTATTCTATTATTTTCATTTTGAGTGGGTTGAAATTTCAAAAGGTGTTGGTTAACCATTTGTCTTATCAATAGGTTTCTTCTCAAATTTGAAATTTTGATATACAGTGGGCTTTTTTCTTTCATTTTATTTTTCTTTCTTTCCTCTGGGCTCATCCTTTCTGGCAGTTTTAAGTTGCCTCCAAGTTGTGTCCTAGAAACCCCAATTCAGCCAAGTGTTACATGCTGATTCACTGCTTCAATTCTTTGGTGATACTGTATCACCAATTCTTTGGTGACAAACTGAGTAAACTGCAACTGAGCAAATTGCAAACTGCGCACTTCTGCCCACCTTGGGCTCCTATCTTCCTATATGAGCTGGAGCCCCACATATCATTTGAAGGTAGGTTTTGCTGCTTAGTCTCCTTTCACACGTGGTACAGCAGGGGAGAGGAATCCCAGCTCAGCCCTTTGCCCAAAACAGTGCTGTTTGGTCCCCTTTTTCATTCCTGTTATTTTTGCTATTAAAAAAAAAAATCCATTTCATCAGAGGATCATCGATTTTATTAATCTTTTAAATAACCTGCTTGTGGCTTTATTATTTTCTTCTACTTTCCTTAGGATTTTTTATTTTCTTATCCTCTTGAGATCAATGCTTAATTCATTATATTTGGGGCTTAAAAATTATATAAAGCTAGACATTTCTCTTCTAGTACTATTATCACCTCTCACAATTTTGAAATGTAGTATTATTTTTAGATCCCATTACCCCTGCCAAATTAGAACTTCTACTCTGGACCTGGAGTCAGGTAGGCTGCTGCTTCAGCATGGTTCATGGTTTCCTCCATTATTTCTTGTCCTTGGATATATTTTTTGGTTTTGAACCCAATTTTCTCTTTTTATCTTTATCGTACTAAGTTTGGAACAGAGGGGGTGCTTTAGAGCATCCACTCAATATGTTATTTGATCAGAAGTCTCGGGACATCTTTCTCTCTCTTACAGCAGGTAAAATAAACACATTTTTATTGATTTTTTTCCTTCCATATATTTTATGTTTATTTTTCCTTCCATGTATTTATTTTTAAAAAATTTTTAAAGGTTTTATTTAAATAATCTCTATACCCAACATGGGGCTCAAACTCACTACCCCAAGATCAAGAGCCCCACATTTCTTCTAACTGAGCCAGCCAGGTGCCTCATCCTTCCATTAATTAATTCTTAATTAACTAATTGACTGATTTTTAAAATAGGCTCCACTCCCAGCCTGGAGCTCAAAACAGGACTAGAACTCACAACCCTGAGATCAAGACCTGAGCTGAGGGGCACCTGGTGGTTCAGTCAGTTAAGCATCAAACTCTTGATCTCAGCTCAGGTCCTGATTTCGGGGTCGTGAATTCAGGCCCCTCATTGGGCTCCACGCTGGGCATGGAACCTACTTAAAAACAAGACCAAAAAACCAACCAAACAAAAAGACCTGAGCTGAGATTGAGTTGGACACTTAACCTACTGAGACATCCAGGCACCCTCTTCCATATATTTAAATAGAACTTTCATGCATTCAAATTTTATCTTGATGTAATTTTATCTTGTCATTTATATTACCTCTTATGCCAAGTTGCATCAACACATTCACAAGCATCTTTCCATGTAAGACTCTAGACAGCTAATGTTTATTTCCAACAAATTTTGGAGGTCTTTTGTAAACGTGATCTTATCATTCAGGCAAGTTTGTTCTTAATATTGTTACAGTGGTGTCTCCGTTTCAGGGATTGTTAAGCTGCTGAGGTTGTAGAACTCCTTTCCAATTAATTTTCTGTTAACAGAACTGAAGTCCTAATCTGTTAAAACCAAGACAGAGATAGGTTAAGCTCAGATTTTTAAAGGGGAACTCAGGACTCAGTGTTATGTATAAACTTCACAGGGGTAAAAAAAAAAAAAAAAAAAAGAATACATATAACAAGACCTGTTCAAAAATACTGGTTTGATCCTCAGTATAAAATTAAATTCCTGGTAAATCGTAGGCTATTGCCCTGGTAAATGTTTCCTGGAACATTTCCTACCCAAAGCCGAAACTGTCATACCTATAACCTAAGATTGTCCTTTTGAAAATCAAGCACTTAATAAAACAGTTATTTTTCTCTTTAAAAACTAGCTTTATTTAAAAGAATCTGAAGCATAACACTATAGGAACAAACTTACAATACATATTGTTCAAGAAAGCCTGCCATACATAATTTCTACTAATAGTAGGTCTAAATACTGATAAATAACATTCTTTATACAATGCACAAATGACATTTAGTATGAACCTTGGAAAAGAATGGCCAACAATAACATGGACTGTTTTGATAGTAGAACCTCTACTTGTCTTACTACTTATCTTAGAATAAAAAAGTAAAACGTGGAAGATAAGTTAAACTCCTCTTAAATTCTACCATGGTGTTTAAGGAAGAAAGAAAGGGATCAAAAGGAGGAAAATATAAGAATTAAAGATCTTAAAGAAAAAGGAAAATTGGCTTACCACTATTAATAGTAATTATTAAAAAGTAATTCAGAATTGAGAATTTTTGGTTTAATACTTGGAAGCCCTTAGACAAATTATCCATTATCCACTATATTCAATCAGTTACCGAGCCAATTTTATTTCTCTGAAAACTGTAACCTGTACAAAACCATACAAAGAAAATAAACAATTTGGGGGTAACCTAGTCATTTCATACTTTAAATCTTTCCACAAAGCAATTCATGAATCATTTAATACTAATACTTCTTTAAACCTCTATGACTTAAATAGAAACAGACTCATTTCTAAGAGATTGTATGTGAAGATACCAGGAAAAAAATAAATCCCTAATATGTAATTCTAAATTTTTAACCCCAAAAATAGGCCCATGTAAACATGGGCATTCAAATCAAATATAATGGAATTGTGCCACAGTATGGAATATGGCATTTTTTTTTAAATATCAAGAACTGAATCAGATTTATTGCTATGTCAGTCTTATCAATAGCTGACAATCAAACATACAAAATACACCACAACCATGCCAAAAATGATGTTGTATAGAGATATCATTAACATAACACAGGTAAACATTTATCTTGTAATATACATCACTAATATAGTAAAACCTTATTCAGGATAGTAAGAATTGATAAAAGTCTAAAAATTTGAATACTTTAAAAAGTTATGCAGTTTAAGCACTCATAAGCATTCTTTTTTTTTGCTTTCAAGTATACAATTTCAAATGTACAAATTTGCATTGGCCAAGTATTACCTATTACAATTCTTTTGGGTACTTGTTTTAAAGACAAAAGAATGCTTTTAAAATAGTATTCTCAAATAAATGCTCTATAAAGCTTAATATTTTCCCAAGATTAAACATTTTTCTTTAAAATCTTGATTATGCCTTTTATTAATAAACCTTTCATCAGATAATACAAAGTAAACACCACTCAAGGCCTTGTATCAATGTTTACAAATTCTAAGTAAATTAGAGGACTTTTATGGTATTGTAATAGCGTCTTAATAAATGATTAAGAAAAGATTAGCATTTCTACTTATTGTGGTTACGGTGAAGTGAATGGTATCTTTTTTGGTTGGAAGATATCAGAGTAGGTTCAAAGTCTAGTATATAATTTTAATGGTAAGGGCTAAAAAAAAAAAATCCTAATATGCACAATCAATGAAGACACTAATTCCTTGGTAAGTTATAACTGTGAGAGGAAAATAAAATTTTTAAGAAGTATTTATTGTATTATGAATTGCTAACACCAAATTTTACCCCCTCTCCCACTTCAAAACATCAGGCCATCTACTAATCCATAAATATTGATGTTTCACATACTTCATAGAGTAGCTTAAACATACCAGCATAAGAAATAATTAGTATTACATAGTAATTTCCTTTGCCATAGGAATAAATGTTGGACAAAGTCTGGAAACATTTTATTTTCCAATTTGAATTACAGTAATTTTGCCACAGACCACAGCACTAGTGCATGTGTTACTTTAGACATGCTCTAAGAACAAAACAAAAAATTACTGCAAAAATACATGTCACCAATGTGGAACACACTCAGATTTGTATAAAAGTACTGAACTAATATCCCAAAAAGAGGTATATGTAAACAGTACATAAGGAAGAAATAGTTTTAATATGAAACAGTCATTTAAGTCACATACATCATGATAAGAAGCAGGACTTTCTTTTATAAAAGATATTTTAACTAACAAGCAACATCATCTATATCACCTACAGAACAAGAAAAGTACGTCTTTAGAATTAGTTTTAATATAATTGCAAGTAATGTATTTTGACAAACTGACAAAGATGAAGCTTATCCATTGGGTTTCATTAAAAATTTTCAAAGAAATACAGGCAGCCTCTGATGTCCTCACATCTGGCTTAGAGATAGCCACTTTTCATTTCCCCTAGACCATATGTCTTGGGAGATGTTAATGCCAGCCCTACTCCAGGAGTACCTCTAAACTTCCACCTCGGTACCAAGAGTTAGAAAAATGCAGATGTGACTTCTATACTGTTCTACTGGATAAACAGGATAGGGGAAAAGGGGAAGTTACTCATTTTGGAAATGAGAAGAAACCTCTGAGTTCAAAAGTTGAGGAAAGAAAACTGTAAAAAGTCCCAACAATCTAAAGGAAATTGGGAAATACTCTCAAGACAGCATCTATCAATTTGATAAAAATACTGCTTCCCATAGTGCCTGAAATGTGGTCATATTTTCTGAAATCTTATTAGATAAAAATTCATCCTGAACTAATAAGCAGTCTTAAAAAAAAAAAAAAAAGGTTTAATCCCACTTTCTTCACTATCTTCATTCGCATCTTGGTGGAAAACATTTTTCCCTTAAAATCTAGCCAGCCATAAGCACAGAAAAAATGGGAATTCTGAATAGAGGAAAGATAAAATCTTGAAGCATAGAGCATCCAGTAAGGGAAAAGGCAAGTTGGCTTATATAGTATTCCACCGGAGGGTTTAGGATGGTAAGAGGACAACTAGGAAACACTAACACCAAGAAACTTAACTTTCCTGAATCCCATCAGGAAAAAGGAAAGACCTCTATTTCTTTCTACCTCCTACACTGACTGGTTCCCTAAAGAAAACTGAGTGCTCAGCATGATACTATTGGTTAACTACATTATGGTTTAAATAAGCCTTATGAGCTTTCCTAACAATCTAATCATTTTATATAATGTTCCAAACCACTATTTACAAATGACCTTTGGGAGCCTGGATGCTCTTAATTGAACTTTTTAATTAAAAAAAAAATCTAAAATAGCACAAATGTTCATGCATATGAAACCTCTGTACACTGTTAAAAAACAAAATCCAAAAATTCTTTAGAGCTCCCTTAAAGAAAATCATTACTTATATTTTTCTTTTTACTATTAAATACAATTACTATAGTATACTGGACAATAACCACTAACACTTTTAATATGTTCAAGACAAACAAGTTTGAAAGAATACTAGATGAAGACTCCTGATCCTTATTAAGATGATTGAAGTCAGCAGAATTCATGGTGACCCACACTACTGAGGTTTTTTCCTACCAGTAGGCAGAGTTGGAAGTCTTAAAAAAATCTTTATCTTGTGTTAATCTACGAAGAATAAGCCCTACTGCAAGAGAAATCTTGCTTTATGTACATAATCTTCTAATTTGGATAACCAGAATCATGATAGCAATTCTCTAGAAGTATTTCACACCAAAGGAAAACACCGATCACAAAACTAATTCTAAGCACTCTATCTGAAGAATAATTTTTCTTTTACAAGCTTAACTGTTTCAGCATTACTGAGTCCAGTAGCATCCAGAAGTAAGTAGACTAGGAATTCTCTCGTGAAATGAATAAAGCACGTTCTGGGAAAGGAACTGATGCTTTAAAACTATCAGCAACCTAGCTGTCGTGAGAGAGCCTAGCTGCTGAGAGTTAGCCAGTCTGAACTTAGACAAAACTTGAGAATATAGGAGAAACCACGATTTCCTGCTCAGTTGTGTGTGTGTGTGTGTGTGTCTTTGTGTGTATGTGTGCATGTGGGATGAGGTCTTTCAGTGAAGGAAAAGGATTACATAAGAAAAGGTGCAATGCTACTGGAAGATTATTCCACCTATGTACATTTCTTTCCATTACTGGATATTTGAAAATGTTTAGGGCAGCTCATCACTTGTCCTAACAAAGCTGTATCAATTTGTATTAATAGCCTTCTTTGGGTCAAATTGGACATTCTTATATTTCATCACTTTTCCTATCAAAAACCATCTAATTTTTGACTTAGTGTCACACAGAGACAAATGTGGAAGTAGTTAAGAAAAGTAATTTGAATACATGAAAACATTCACAAACTATGATTATAGTTTGCCTATGACTCGCTGTCAGTCAACCACGGGTTTTTCTTTGAATATTTACAGACTCTTAATTAAATAAGGTGCTCTGAAGATCTAAATACTTGAATAAAAATTCACTTGTAAGTTTTTAAAAACAACTATTTGGAAATGGAAAAGAATCACATTACAAATCAAGTACCTTTAGACTAGCTTGGGAGCGGTTACTTCACTTTCACAAAACAACCACTGAAACTGTAAGCAACAGATGGCTTAAGAAACTGCATAATCAATTTTAACCTTAAGTACAACTCAAGTACTACCATGTAAAATGTTAACTCCTGAGGACACTGGAAGGTTCTACTCAATATCTATCTAAACTATATTGTCATAAAAACCATGATCTGATGCTAGAACTGGGCTTACAGCATGCAGTGCATCATTTCTTCAAAATCAGCACTCACTAGGATTTCAAGAATAACATAACTAGGTTCTTAAACATTTAGAAAATTGTGTATTTCTAATATAAAGTAAGCAAAATGGGATCTTCAAGTATGCTACTGAACACATCAAATGTTAGAGTCAACCAAAAATACTGCATTTTAACCTGCTTCAATTGGTAAAGTTGTCACACCAAGGAGTACCTAGTATTAGAGTTCATATCACTTCATTTCCTAAAATTGTAAAGATATATAATTTACAACTATATTGAAAATATTTTGTACTCACCTCTAACTAGTCACAGGTAAATGGAGAAAACCTTCTACTACCTTGTACCATATGAAATTGCTGTTTTTGTAGGTCAAAATTAAAACACTGTATTTAAAAAAATAAGTTTTATTCAATCAAAATATGCATCATGAGCATTAATAATTTTCTTCTAGTAGGATATTAAATATTTCATTTTTATAAAATTTGTCATTTCTTCAGCTATATAAATTGTTCATATCCCTCCAATTACTGCTTCTTAATTGGAGAACATGTTTCTTAAAAAAAGCTTCAAATGATGAAAAAGATGGTAGTTCGCTGGGTAAAGGTCTGGTGATTATAATGGACATGACAAAATTTAATGTCCCAATTCAATTAACTTTGCTTTAGTGGCTTGTGACATGTGAGGTCAAGTGCTGTCATGTAAAAGTGTGGGCTCATGTTTATTAACCAAAGGATGTTTTTTTAATCAAAATTTTCACGCACAATTTTAGTTTCTTGGTGATATGCTGCCGCTGCTGTTTCACTAGGGTTTAAACAGTAGTGATTAATTCTTCTTTCGCAGATCACCACATGGACTTCAGAACTTTTTTGGTCACAATGATAATGATGGTGCAAGTGTGGGAGCTTCACCAACATCCAACCATCGTATGAACTATCAATTGTTATACAGTATCTTGTGGGGGGGTTGTTTTTTGTGGGTTTTGTTTTGTTTTTGGGGGGTTTTTTTGGTCACAGGTCATGATCCGCTCTAAAAACAGGTTTCCACTGAAGTTTTGAATCTTAACAGTACACCTCTGTCTCTGTTCTTGATCATCTCCCAGGAGGATGTTCTTGGGTCCGTCTTTACACTTTCCCCAGTCACAACAGAAACTCTACTTCAAGGCCTTGAAATTGTCGTTTGTAAGTTAGCTTTCACCCTGGCTCTTAATTGGTCTTTGCTCAAAATGGATTCTGATCTCCCCTGAGGCTTGTCTTTGAATCCAGATCCCCAGAAAAAGACTTTCCAAACCACCACTGAGCAGTTCTTTCACCAGCTGAGCCTTCTAAGGCCAACTTGATGTTTCCACCTATGTCACTTGCAGTTATGTCCTGGCTTGAAATCATATTAAAAGGAGTATTTGCAATTCTTCCGAGGATACTATGTTATTTCTCTGGAAAACAATAACAAAACAACTCAATAATCAAAGGAAACGGAATGAAGAGCTTAATACTATTATAATTCTAAACAGCACAACTAGAAACATACTTCACTTCAACTCTACCAACTGCAGTCATTTTTCAACTGATCTAATAATATTAGCAATTTCATGTGGTACAATCCACAAGTTAATCAACAAATACTTACTGAGCATCTACTATATACTAACATCTGTCTCATATCTGTACAAACATATCTTGAAAAGACTGACTTGAAAATAGGAACGTCACTAATTTCAAGGACCCTAGTGGGAAGAAATCTGGTAACATATCTATTATTGTTTAAAACATCCATTAAAATGTATGCTTTCTTCCATGTTATAACTACACATAGTTTTTTCTGAAAACATGTCAAATAGATCCTTGAAAAATTTTTTGAACCATTTAATGTAATATTGCCAAAGTTCAGCTCTGCAATGTACATTTTTCAATGATTCTAACTTTTAAAAGTCAAAATTTGCCTATATTTGCTATATATTATTTTGAAGCTTCAAGAGGCTTTTTTATGATTAACAACAACAACTAACATTTATTTGTATAGTACTTTCTAAAGCACCCCCATATACATTATTCTCATTTAAGATAGCAAACAAAGACAACACAAAATTTGCACTGGTAATGAAGTAGAATATTAATAAAAACTAAAAGGTAAATAATCTTTTTGTGTGTGCATTTAAAAAAATAATGTAAAACATTAAAATCCTGTGTCACTGAACCTCTGTAAGACACAGGAAAAAAAACAAACCAAAAAACCCTTTAGTTAATGCCGGTGATTAAGCATCACTGCCCACTGCAGGTGGACCAAAAGTTTCCCGAGTACGCATCAACTGGACATCCTTGTCAGCCATACAGGTATCACAGCCCCATACTGCTGATGCCTCTGCAGTCAGGAGACCATAAGCGGTTTCAGTCATTCCAGTGCAGATCCGATGAAACCACTTCTGACAAGAGGCTTCACACAAGATGGCATCCTGATCATCATTCACTTCGTTTGTACAAATTCCACAAGGATACACTGGGTCAGAAGAAGAATGGCCATGACGGCTTGGGTGGAGAGAGGATTTATTGCTTTTTTCAGTGGTGCATGTATCTGGGGCAGCTCTAGGTTGTCGTGGCTTACTCTGTGTCCCATTTGCATGGCTGTTATTTGTAGCTTCTGCGGTACTCGAACGGCTAGTCTCTTGATTTACTGCATTGTTTCGATTAACATTTTTTAACTCAATATTACTCTGATTCACTGTGTCATCCATATTTAAGTGAGGTGGATGAGCAGAGGAATTTTGATTAGTGTTTTTGGTTGCTCCTTGACTAAAGTCTTGTTTTTGGGGTGGTGCTTTTGCTTGACTGAAAGTGTTTGGGGGAGGAATAAAAGAATGATTAGATTCTAATGGAGAAGTAAAATTTGAGTTATTTCCAGGGACAAAGTTAGACGCCAAGTCAGGGTTAGACACTTGGTTAGCATTCTGTGGAGGAATCTGATTGAAGTTTTCAGCAGGATTTTGTCGAAAATGTTGATTAGGCATGTTAACATTCTGACTTAGTGCATTATTATAAGATGGATTTCCAAAGCTTGAATTATCATGTGGCCCAAAGTTAAAAGCATGAGGTCGATTAAAACCCATGCCCAAAGGATTCTGCGGAAATGGGTGTGGCTGATTCCTGAGTGAGTAAGGACCACAGTATGGGGAAGACATTCTTGGAGGAACGTGAGGTGGCATTCTGAACGTGCTATAGCCTCCAAAGCCAGGATAACCAGGGCCAAGATATGGATTTGATGAAGGCAGTGGTTTATAGGAAATAGTATTATAGTTGTCATCAAATGGATTAGCAGCCACTAGATGGTCAGAGTTTGGATTTGGTGGTGGAGCATACTCAGACAATGGAGGAAAAGAAGGCCCCTGAAATGAGAATGTAGAATAAAGTACATGTTTCGATCAAAGAAGTCATTAAAACTGTTATCTTAACACGTAACAACCTAGCTTTAATCAAATTTCTCTTGCTATGTGTTAAGAAAATCTAATTCTTCATTTGACCTTTCAATTCCAAATAGTTTTCATATTTAATTCTATTTAATGATTAAAATGTGTAGATTTCTTCCTTTAGGAAAGGAAAGAAGGTATGCTTTTCTGAGCTCAACTCATTGTTACTTCAAATTCCAAAGGTATTTAAGCTTCAAAAGAAGCTTCATTATATAACTTTCATTTAATATGCTTAACTATAATTCTAGAATCCTTCACTTAAACCATAAAATTAAGTAACAATAAACAGGATCTAAGTTTTTTTACTAGCTTAACTTCAGGGAGTAGCTATTAAAGTATTCCCCAAGTACTATGCTCTTGGCCTCAGAATGGAAAAATAAACTTCCAGTTTTAGTCACACTGCAAGTTTAACAGATGGTGGCCAAAATGGAAAAAAGTAATCTGTATACACATCATACTTCCTCTCAGTCTTTAAAAGAAAAAGAGTGCTTCAAATTCACAGGGGATAAAAGCACAGAGGCCTGTTTTTATAACGATTATCCAAGCACAGGTTATACATAAAAGATACTTCCACCATGACCGCTTAATGATACATATGTACTACTGAATTACTATAGCAGCTGAACACTGCTTCAGGTTAAACCTGTGTCCCCAGATTTTACAATCTTTTAGCGGAAGTGCAGGTATCAATGCTTTTTAAGTTAGATTTAAGGATAAGCATTTTAATTTGTCTGCCTACACTTCCTTCTTGCAATACCCACTTTAGGCCTATAGGCCAACAATAGCCACTGGTTGCAGAGTAAAAAAAAAAAAAAAAAAAAATCACTGCAGAATTCACGATTAGGTTATGAATGAGGACAGGAAATAAACTCATGACCAAATTTAAATTTACCTCATCAGCTTGATCTTATCAGTGAACAAAAACTGTTATTAAAGAAAATGTCAATTTACCTGTGTATTTGTCTTGCGTTTTTTCTTGTCTGGGCTTCCTAGTTGTACACCTGGTCCTCCTAACCCATCCAGTCCACTATCACCACCTAAAAAAAAAAAAAAAAATTCCAGATAACATTTCCACTTGTAACTGAAATCATTTTACATCTTTCACAGCACTATCATAATTACCTGTTAATATGTGTTCTATTTTTGTTAGGTAAAAGCAATACTAAGCTTTTTTAAAAAAAATCTTTGTTCTTCAAAAAGTCTTCCCCATAATTTCAGCCAGAAACATTCATCTCTACTTCCATAGTATTTTTTATTATTCTTTCAGTGAGAAAGTCTCCATCCTACACTTGAAGCTTTAGTCATCTGGTTTCTTATCCTGGAGGCAACCACTAGTTTTTGCTCTATCTTTCAGAAGATAATCTAGATAAATTCCAGCATGGCATCTTTTGCGGGGAGTACACAAACCATGGCATGCATACTATACACAATGTTCTCTACACCTTGCTTTCTTCTTGAAAATCATTCCACATAATTACATACAGAACTGCTCTATCACCTAATAACTGAGTAGTATTTCATGGTATGATTATACCATAATTCATTAAACTAGCTCCCTCCCTATTGATGGATATTTAGGTTGTTTCCAAAATTTTGCTGTCTGCAATGAAAATCTATGTACAAGTGTCTTAAATACATGTACAAATCATTCTTAGAACTGGAATTATGGCATTAAAGGTATGTAGCCTTTAAATTCTTAAAGGTATGGTCAAAGTACAACAATGTATGTATTATTTTCTCAACAGTATACGATCAAACAAAAGCAAAAGCTTGAAAGTTTATCAGTAGAATTTTTTTCCATTACAAAAACACTTTTTATTATGGAGGATTCTGATTATTACAAGAGTAGACAGAATAAAATTTTGTATGCATATATAGATACACATTTGTAATAGATTAATAAGTTCAGTGAGTTGACAATTAGAGGAGACCTACTCACACATGTGGATTCTGAGAAAAGGGGTATTTAAACTGAGACCTACAGGATAAAAAAATAAAATAAAAATAAAATAAAATAAATAAACTGAGCTTACAGGAGGATAACAAATCTCTCATGTAAACAGCATAAGGAAGAGCCTCTAGGCAGAGAACAGCATGTGTAAAGATTCTTAAGTAGAAAGAAGCCCAATGTGTTTGAGAAATTTAAAAGACGCCAGTGTGTTAAGGGACTCTGGAGAGTGCCACTAGAAGAGGTTAAAGAGATAGGTAGGGACCAGATCATTTAGAGCAGTATGGACAGAATGTGTCCCCTCAAAATTCTTTTTTTTTTTTTTTTTAAGATTTATTTATTTATTTACTTGACAGAGAGATAGAGAGCACAAGTAGGCAGAGTGTCAGGCAGAGGGAAAGGGAGAAGCAGGCTCTCTGCTGAGCAGGGAGCCCGACGCGGGGCTTGATCCTAGGACCCTGGGATCATGACCTGAGCCGAAGGCAGCTGCTTAACCAACTGAGCCACCCAGGCGCCCCTCAAAATTCTTATTTTGAAGCCCTACCCCACAGTATGATGGTATTTGAATGTAGTGCCCTTGGGAGGTAATGAAGATTACATCAGGTCATGAGGGTCAGGCCCTTAAGATGTGATTAGTGGCCTTAGGAGAAAGAAGAGTCTGTTCTCCACCGCTCCCCTCCGAGTACAAACACAGGAAAGGCCATGTGAGGATACGGGCGAGAAGGTGGGCATCTGCAAACCAGAAAGAGAGCACTCACCAGGAAGTGAATTGGCTAGCACCTTAATCTTGGACTTCCCAGCCTCCAAACTGTGGGAAAATAAATTTCTGTTGTTGAAGCCACCCCGTCTATGATACTTTGTTCTTGCAGCCCAAGCAGACTAAGACACAACGCCTTGTAGTTTATGCTAAGGAATGTGAATTTTATCTGAAGAACAGCGGATGATCATTTAAGGGTTTTGAGCAGGAAAGTGGTATGATTTAAGTTTTAGAAGTATTATATTAGCAGTTGTGTTGAGAATTAATTGATGGTGGGACAGGGGTAGAAGCAGGGAGATCAGTCTTTTACAGTAATAGTTCAGGAAAAGAAATGGTACTTGACAATAAAGAGAAATCAGTGTGTTGGACAAAGACCCCCACCTAACAAAATGCAAAGCAGATATCTCTAAGAGCTATTTAGAGAAGCCTATATACTATGAAGGTGAAAAACTGACAAACGGTAACAAAATTCAGTAAGGATTCTGGATGTTAAATTAATATTTAAACATAAGCAGCTTTTTTATACACAAACTAAAACCAGTCAAAAGATAGAGTAGAAGAAAAGTTTTCATTTATAGGAACAAAACTAAACTAAAATAGCAATAAATTTAAAAAATGCACAAGATCAGTATGAATAAAAACCTTCAAAAGTTCTATATTGAGAGACATGGAGGAATACTTCTAATAATTGGAAAGGTAGTCCCTGTTCTGGCTAGACAACTAGAACAAAATTACATTGTTTTTTACCTCACTTATTATCCCAAACAGCCTTTTTTGTGCCTTCCTCAGACACATTAGCACCAGGTATTTGAATCCCAGGCCCACGGGGCCCACCCTCAGAGTCCAGAGGCATTAATACTAGAATAAGCAGCACCTCCTTCTCAGAGATCTGAGTTTAAACTCCACAGGGCCCCTCCTGTGAATTTATATATTCTAATAATTCCAACTTCTCTCCTGTGGCGTCAGGAATGGTAGCTGCTTCCCACAGTCGATACCTCTGTGAAAACTTTAGTATCCTATTTTGTCACCAGTTTAACGTCTGTTAACAATACCTTATATTAAATTCTATTAAAAATAACTGGTATGGTTTCTATCTCCGACTAGACCCTGACTGATACATATCTCAAGTGCCACCAGCCAGAAACTGTCATTACTACTAAGTTAACGTCATTCCACACATTTAGCTTATTACCTACCTACCTACTTCCGCGAATACAGAGCAATAGTAATACCTTTACAAAGATGGGATACTATTTTTAAATAAAAACATTAAATTTTAACTTTATTATAATGCAATAAAGGAAAAAAGAAATGAATTAAACTATAGAATATGTTAAATATTTCTTTACCATAAGAGAAGTTTTTGGAAAGAATCCTCTAAGAAAAGACATCAAGGAAAACACTAAGTTTGAAAAATGTATGTCTTTTCTTTTCTTAATTTTCTTAATTTTAGATAGCATTCATGGAACTTTGAATGTTTAAGATAATATGGTATCATATCTTATTCTACTTTTTCCACCCCGTTTCCATCCATCTACTTTTTCTATCTCTGATTCAATTCTTTATTTCAGCTAAATTTTCTTTTATCACATCTTTGAATACTTTTTCTGCTCTTTGTTGAGTGCTCTATTTTGGGGGCATTAGTTATCATTATGCTAGAGAAATTTTTAGCACCATATCTATGAGTAAGCTTTTGTTGTATTAATCATCCTGTCTTTGAACTCTTGCTTTTATTTTTGTTTTGTTTTTTCATTAAGGTCTACCACTTGACGTACATGTGAAATCTTTCCTTCTGTCTTTTAGGTTATGGGTCTTCATCTTCTGCATGCTATTTCTTTTCCTTCTTTTTTTTTGTTAATTCATTAGTTTGCAATACTATGTTTGCATAGTTATGCTTTTATCATCTTGCAATTCTGTCTAGATCTTTTATTTGCTCTGATTTAACATGGGTGACTTTCTGACTCTCTTTTTTTCACATCTAAGATTACTTGGTTTAGGTAATATGCTTTATCTACTGAGATAATCATGTGATTTTTCCCCTTTAAATTATTTTAATATTCAACTCAAAACTGACATTCGTGAAGTAAAGCCAACTTACTCACTTTTATACAAATGTTATCATTTTCATGTGACTGGATATGCTATTATCTCTTTTGAACACTTGCCTATATTAGTAAGATTAACCTCTTGTGTTTCCGTGGAACATCCAGGTTTTTAATTCTGACATTTTGTTAAAGGCACGTCTACCTAGTCAGGGGGTGTGGTAACCCACTCATATGGGAGGTTTCCTGTGTTCCCTGATTCAGTTTGTATCCCTGGAGACTTTTCTGTCACAGACAGTCCTCTTTTTTTTTTTTTTTTTAACTTTTTGTTTCATTCATTTTTTTCTTACTCAAAAGAATGAGAATATAAAGAATAGTCATTTAATTTCCTTCTCTCCAGACTTGGGGTTATTAATAAGAATTCTCAAAATTCTATAAATCACTAATAGCTTTCAAGGGCAGAGGTTGTCTTAGAACCTAAGACAGTGCATTTTGCACTGTTTCAGAATTACGTTATTGGGCTGTGCCACTTCCTTTGTTTGCCGCTGTTGCTGCACATTTTTGCTCTTTTTCAAAAATGGCTTTGGTTCATTTCACTTGGAATTTAAAAAGAGATTCTGTAGTTTTGTTCTACCATCTTAACTTAGAAGTCTATATCTGACTGTATCTATGTTCTTTAACTCAATCTTCATTAACAACCTAAGAGGTAGGTAAGTCATCCCCACTTTTTAAAGGAAGAAAAAGAAACAGAATGCAAAGGAGTCATACCACTGATAAAAAGCAGCACAGAAATCTAAAACCAGGGTTTTGTTTCTTTTTGCTTTTAAGTTTTTGAGGATATTCATAAGGTTGTATAACCATTACCACTATTTAATGCCAGAACATTATCATCACCCCATCATATACTCATTAGCAGTCATTTCCCAGTCCCCCAGGCCCTAGCAGTCATGAATCTACTTATACATATTTATGTATTCTGGATATGTTATATAAATGGAATCATACAATATGTGGCGGCTTTTTGTGTCTTGTTTCACTTACACTAGAGTAATGTTTTCAAGGTTTATTCATGTTATATTATGTATTATTTCCTTTTTATAGCCGAATAATATTCCATTGTAGAGATATACCACATTATATTATCCATTGATCAGTTGGTGAACAACTTGAGTTTTTCTACTTTTTGGCTACTAAGAATAATGCTGCTATGAGTATTTATGTACCAGTTTTTATATAAACATATGTTTTCAATTCTCTTGGGTATATACCTGGTAACAGAATCACTGGGTG